CGCAGGCAGTGCTGCTGACAAGTGTTTTTAGGCCATTCTCAATCGGGGGATATAAATATATTCTGAAGCATAGTAGAATTGTAAACGGGCTGATTTATCAATGCCATGCTCATACTGTGTCGGAGCAAGATAGGGGGAACTGTTGCTTTTTCTTTACTCACCCTTACTATCGCATATTATTCCTATACTTCTTCTGTATATTTGTCACTCTCTTGTGACCCGCTATTTCCAGGGTGGCTTGATAGTCGAAGCAGACTTTGTGCTGTTGAGACTAAAGAGGTGAGCAGAGTAAGCCTGATTCCCCGTTTGGACTTCTCTGTTGACATCCACCCCTGGGCGCTCATATGACCTTCTACAGTTGCGAGCGCCGTAAAACATTACTGAAACAAAGTCAACAAATGTTGGTCCCGGATAGAGAGAGACCAGGATAATATATATAAGGGATTGGGTTGTAGGGGGTGGGGGGGGTGATACGGAACATCCGGGTGAATAAATAAGCAACGAACCCTCGCCTCCGATTCCTGCTACGGATAATTACTCGCGTTACAGGCTACGAGGTCAACGGAAAAGTTTGGTAACTTTATTATAATTAGTTATGTGACGTCGGTGGCCTTGGGGTTAAGCTACTGGACTCGTAATTGTGAGGTTGCAGGTTCGGAGGCCCGACGTTTCGTACTTGGGAAAGGAAATTTACACGAATGTTCCTCCCCTCACCAAGGTGGGAATGGGTACACGGCCAAAGACAGTATGTTAGTTAAGTGTTTTACTTTACTTTTTCCACTTTTTCATACTCTGATGCCGTTAAGCGTCGAGGGGAGATGCAGTTTTCTATGGTAGGCCAGCTCTGCAGCTCTTTCAATTTTGATATTATGTTTTCTCACGGTTTCATTGACACCCTCGATCGACCTTTTGCGTGGCTTTTCTCTTCCGTTATAGCCTTAGTGCTTGGTGTTGTAGGCTCTCGAGGCTGGCTGGTCAGGTGACATACGTAACAGGTGGCCTAACCATTTTATTCTCTGTCTTTCTATGTAACGCCGGCTGGATTCAGTGCCGATAGCTGCTCTTACTTTTTCATTTCTCTACCTGTCTCGTCTTTAGATCGTTGTGCCTTAGCGCCTATAAATGGCTACTTGCGTTGTATGCTTCCAAGGAAGTTGGGGTTGTTTCAGAATGCTCTTAGGTCTGCTGGGGTAATAGTACAGTTTGTGAAGGGCATAGAGCTTACAATAAATGCCATCTATCTATCTATCCATCTATTAGTAGTAGTAGTAGTAGTAGTAGTAGTAGTAGTAGTAGTAGTAGTAGTAGTAGTTGTAGTAGTAGTAGTAGTAGTAGTTGTTGTTGTTGTAGTAGGAGCAGTAGGAGTAGTATCAATATTATTATTCTTATTGTAATTATTATTATTATTATTATTGTTATTATTATTATTATTAGTGTTGCGTAACCTGGCGACGTTTGTGCAGTCCGAATGCCGAGGGTGTCGAGCAAGCAGGGAGCGTACTCCAAGATCTCCCGTGATAACAGCCGCTACCTAATTCCGCCGCAACAAGTGAGGCTAGGGCAGAACCAAGACCTCAGTCCTCAGTACGGATGATTCGCAAAATCCGGATAACATATCCGAATAACCGGATAATGCTCAATGATATATTTTTTTCCGAAATCTGACTCTTTACTCTCTTTCCTGACCCGTTTTGCCGAAGTGGGTGCACCCATTTAGTTGAAGTGGTTCTAACTTATCTACCGAAGTGGTTCATATCACATTTGCTGAAGAGGTGCACAATAATAAATAAATAATAATAAATAGCATTTATACTGCGCATTTCCATTTCCTAAAAGATGCCCAATGCGCATTACAATGAAAAAGACATCACATCTTAAAAATTAATCGACACAAATGTGTACGTAAAACAAAGTATTATACGTATAATATAAATGCATATGTGTAAAATTTTATACCAGAAAAACAGTCTCGCAGTGAGGTTGAAAATGTGTTCACTAAAAATATACAATGCAATATAAATTCATGAACAGTCCAAATACAGTTGAAACGTGAGTAACTAGAAACATTCATTAAAACATTAATTCTATACAGATAGAAAAACATTTCCACTCTATCTCTCTCTCTCTCTCTCTCTCTCTCTCTCTCTCTCTCTCTCTCTCTCTCTGTCTGTCTGTCTGTCTCTCTCTCTCCCTCTCTCTCTCTCCCTCTCCCTCTATCTCTCTCTCTCTCTTTCTCTCTCCCTCTCTCGCTATCTCTCTCTTTTCTCCTCTATCTCTCTCTTTTAAAAAACGTTATTATCCGGATTTTTTCTGAAGCGACTCATTGCCCAGCCCTAGACTCTGTACAGATGAGTGGCCGAGCAGCTCAGTAGAGCAGGACGTCGATTGTGCACGGCGCTTCTGTCTGTCCGTCAGTCTGGTCTGGTCTTGGCGGGCCCGTTTCTAATGTTTCATCTGTCAGCTGTTGGCGAGTTTATGACGTTTCATCTTTGTGTGTGAACAACGGTTGTGGCTACTGTTTATAATGATAATATTATTATTATAGAGAGAAAAAGGATTGCGTGCTTTGTTCATGGTGGTTTCGCTCGTCTGAAAGTCCTTCTGAAAAAAAGTGAGTATAAAAATGTTGTTTTACAGCACGCAATTAAGTTAGTATAACACAGCATAAAATAACATTATTTAACAATGATAATATTATTATAATGATGATGGTAGGGATTTTGATGATGATGATGATAATATGATGATTAGGATGATAATGATTATAAAAATGATAAAAATAATCACCATCATAACAGTAATGATAGTAATGATAATAATAATAATATTAACAGCAATAATAATAATAATATTGCATGCGTATATATAGCGTATATCTACGCTCTACAGTTTACTCAATGCGCTATATAACTATCACCCGGCAAACCCTAGACCACGACTCAGAAACATTCTCGGCTTCCCGGAAAGTGCACAGTGGAAACTGCTGATTGCACGCGTAAAACAAGGCAGGCGATATTCGAAGACGTCTCCGGTGAGCACCCAGGAACTATTCGGAGACGCACTCCCGCACACACATGCACCGCTTTGGGGGGAGGGGGGGGGGTCAAACTTGCGTATGGTTTGCTGCAGATAACACATATTATAGCCCCTAAAACAATCGCGAATCAATTATTTTCAAGAAAATTTGAAACCTAAAAGCAAAATATCAAATTATCGGTTAAAACAGATGGGCATGCCACCCTGTAAACCCCAATTTTTTTTTACTTATTCCAGACGCACAACGCATTTTGATTGGTCTATCTCCGTCGGAGACGTCTCCGGATAGATACTGCGTAAAACACCAGCAAACTGACAAGACCTTTAGCTACCCATTCACCTTAGTCACTATTATATTGGGTGTGTGTCACGGTGTTTTATTCTGCGTGGTCTGGGTGTCAACCTCTTTGGTGCCACTTCGTGCATTTTGATTTCTCCAGCCTTCTCTCCCTCATTATATGTGTCACGACGTGGTGGAATCAGGCGCTCGTCAATTTTTGGGCATCTGGGGTTATTTGTATTATCTTAAAACATGTTTATTTGCCTTTCTTTTTGGTGAAAAAAAAGATCCATCTATGTTGAATAGAAGTCGAAATACATGCAATTGAAGGAGGTCAGGATCGTCTGGTTTCAAAGGTAAAATTAGCGAGAAAATGGCCGCCAAAATTTGGTAACTTCCATACCCTGAGAGTTCTCGGAAACGGAAAATGTACGTTTTTGTGTCTTTAATCAATATTTTTCAGTAAAATCTACACAAAAAATGTGCTTTAACGGGAAATAAAATAAAAATTGCAAACCTGCCAAAAATGCCAATTACCTTGATCTCATTATTTTGACGAGAACCTCATTTCCCCACGATGCCTCCCATAAGATTACGTAGGACTATTCTGAGGCCCAGGGGACCTTGATAGGCAGGGCCAACCAGCCCAAGTCCTAATAATAATACCTTCTATTTTCTTTGTGTTTCTTTTTCTTCTTTTGTTTTTGTTGTGTTTTGTTTTGTTTTTGTATTTTAGTTCTTTTGTTCCGCAAGGTGTCGAGGGAAGCCGTAATAAATTGTAGGACGTGGGCGAGGTGTGGCGTTCTTTGGATAGTGACATAATTGTTCCTTTTAAGGGTCTCTTTGACCTCATTGATCCATTTGTTACAATATTTTTAGAAATCTGACGCCTAGGAAGAAGCATACAAGCCGCGCACACTCACTGGTAGAATTAAAACTTCTGAAATAATAAAACAATATATACGAGGGTCGTTCAAAAAGTTGTGCCTCCCAGTTCATAATATGTGGTATTTTATTATAAATTGCATCGGTATAGACGTATATGTAAAACCTTTGCGAACAAATCACAGTCGATGACAAACCTGGTAGTGCGGGTCAAGGGGATCTGGTGTTCAAATCTTAGTGAAGTTCCATTTTCTTATTGTTTTCTTACTGTACTACGTTTATTCAAGTCCGTGCAATAACCTGACGTATGCACCACCTACGTAACCATCATTTATAGGGACTGAAAAAATGCGCAGTACAACCTTTAACTTTTTTTTTTTTTAAAGATCAACGCCAACTACAAAGACAACTTTGCTTTCTATTCGTCTATCCTTTAAAAATGTGCCGCTTTTAGGAGTGAATATCTACATTTCTTTCGGGCTTGGATCTGCACAAATTATTTCATTTGCCATAGCAGTAGTATGTGTTTTGATTGAAAAGAACATAATAATTGTTATAGTTTCCCCCTGCGTGGTGTTGTCATACTTGACTTGGCACAACATTCAGTTTCTGTAACAGTACTAGATTTATCTGTTTGATTGGAAATAACATAAATCAACCGTTTTGCATGATTTTTCACTTCACGGCTATACGTGAGGGAAAACAGATCAATGAACGAAACAGATGGGTTTTCTAAAATAGAAAATGGTGTGTCCAGTATCTTTTTCCTATGACGTTTCCCAAGAATATTCTGAGAAAACGTGCGAAGTTGTACACGTTAAACACTCACTCCAACACTATAAGGTAATGTAAAAGGCAGGACCTTCGAATGTAACGTCCGTCTCCGATAGAACCAAGCCCTATATATAGGGCAATAAGGGGTAAAGTGCCTCTCCCAAGGACACAACGTAGGAAATAGCTAGAGCCTCGAACGCTCCAACCTCTTGTTTTGTTTTTTTAAGTGTTTTACGGCGCTCGCAACTGCCTAAGGTAATATGAGCGCGCTTGACACATTAAACTTTTTCAGTTGGTAGGAAATTTTGAATTTTGCCCGGGTGGCGGCCGATGCCTACTCTGATCGATTTTAGACCACCAAGGGATCTTTAACGTGCGCAACTTGAACACGGGCCCTCCGAGATCTTTCGCCCTTGTCCGAGAAGGTTAGGTGTACATCTTTCCTACCAGAAGATCAGGGGTGTGGCTGAAAGACAGCAGTAAGAAGAAGCCAAGGAGTAGCAGTAGAAAGGCTGTAGAAAGAATCAGGAGCCCAGAGGACGGGGCAAAGAAGATGAGGGAGTGGAGGCAGAAAGAGGAGACGAAAGCAGAACATTGCTAGAGAGTATGAAAGGAGGTGAAAGGAGACAACTTTAGAGAAGAACATTTTTCGGTCACTACCCGGATTCGAACCCGGGACCTTTGAATGAAAGGCCAACATCTTAACCTCTAGGCCACGAGAGCCCTCGGCCCTAACCTTTGTTGTAGTTTTTAAATTTTTTTAAATAGTTTTTTGTTGCTGAAACGATCACAGTTCGTTTTCTAAAATACCCCACAGTCCATTATATTTGGGCATTTGATATTTCTTTTTTTCCCTTCGCATGGTTGTTCACTGACTTCCTTTCAGTCTTTCTGTGCCCCCCCCCCCCCAAAAAAAAAACAAAAAAACAACAACAACAACAACAACAACAATAACAACAACAACAACACACCAACAAAAAAAAACCCACCAAAGCAAACAAAACAAAACAAAACAAAACAACAAACATACAAACAAACAAACAAGAACAAAAACAGTCGACCCACCCCCCCTCTTTTTTTTTACAGGATCGTAAAGTTTTTCCATAATAATCTTTCTCCGTTTTATATTTACCGTCCACAAAGTCAGTCATCCAAACAATGATTTAATGCCTTATTCTTTCGATGACTCCATTTCTAAACATTTTTAGTTGAACTTTGTAATATTTTGTCTATTACATACTTGTTTAGTTAAGTTTAGTAAGAGTTTTACAGCGCTCGGAAACTGTATGAGGTCATATACTCTGTCACATTTATAAGTATACACTGTGCTAAAATGAAAATAGCTAGTTTCACAATGAGTCGATATTCTTTAGAATTTCAGGAATACTAATTCAATCAATTTTAAATACGAAAAAAGCAACAACAATGTGCAATGTTAACACAACAGGTTTATTCATGACATACAAGAGTGTGGGGGTGGTTTACAAAAGTAACACGATCAGTAGCGTTGACGACGGCTTGACATCGTTGTCTCCTTGGATCAACCAATTGCTGCACTGCCTGTTGAGGGATGTTATTCCACTCTTCATGCGATGCTCTCTCAAGTTGAGGAAGTGTCTGAGGCTGGGGTTGTCGCATATTGCTCAACTCATTTCTGGTTAGTCTTGCCGTTTTGAAACGATTCCGTAGATGCGACAGGCGTATAAAAAGATCCTCTCTTTGAGTTCTTCTCCCTCGTTGGCGGTGTCGATCCTTTCCTGATTTTGTTGTTTTCTCGCGATCCATTGTTGTGTACACAGTTCTTCGTGTTACATTAAAATGTCTCGCAGCAGTGGATACTGAGGCACCTTCGCGGATCATTCCAACAAGCTGATTTCGCACATTTTCTCGTAGGGCGTGACATCATGAAACGGAGACAAAACAAGTTTTATCACTGGCGAATTGTTACAAAAATGACAAAGCTTTGATGTGTGTTTCTTTTTTAAACAAATAATTGCCGTATCATGAATAATTCTAAAAAAACACGAAACATGTAATACGCATGCAGATACAAAACCACTCACGCGTTCAGAAATCTGAAAAAGCTCACCAGCGACAGGTATATCACGTAATCAGTGTGTAAATTTGAAAGTAATTGGTACCATAGATTTTGTTTTATTGAGCTTCAAAATGTGTATACTTAAAATGTGACAGAGTATATGAACGCGCTTACATACGTGTGTACCTTAGAGTACTTAGTAATACGCTGGACCTTGATACTGATGGATATGGTTTAAATCCTCAACATAGGCTTTGTTCATGCCTGTAGCAATAGGTCGTTAAATCGGAGAACTTGTCTTGTATTCATAGGAAACTTTACATTGTTGAACAGACGTTAAACCCATACCATACCATACCATACCATACCATACCATACCATACCATACCATACCATACCATACCATACCATACCATACCATACCGTATCGTACCATACCGTAGCGTACAATACCACACCGCAAACCCACACCACATCACACCACACCACACCACACGACACATACCACACCACACCACACCACACCATACCACACTGTACCACACCACACCACACCACACCACACCACACCATACCACACTGTACCACACCACACCACACCACAAACCACCACACCACACCATACCACACCACACCACAAAACACCACACTACAAACCACCACACCACACCATACTATACCACACCATACTATACCACACCACACCACACCACACCACACCACACCACACCACACCACACCGCACCACACAACACCACACCATAGTGTTTCAGTTACATGCAGAATACTTTGATTAACATTAATCTTTATATTATGTTTATTCCTCCCCGCTAGTTTCTATTTCTGCGAGAGCTCTATTTGATACATTTCTAACGTTTAAGTTGGACTTTTTCGCCGTGTGGCGCCAGTGGAAGATTTCACTGATAATTAGGGGCTTAAGTGCTCCTGTTTGACTCAAAGACACATTAACACACACACGCGCACACACTTACACACACACACCCACAGATATACACATAGAAACACATAAACACACACATACATACATACATACATACTTACATACAAACATACTTACATACATACACACATATACACACATAAACTCACAGACGGTGAGAGAAAGATAGAGATACAGAAAGATAGAGAGACGCATACACACACTCACAAAGACACACACACATACAAATAGAGACCAATATAATATACATAT